TGGGTCCGTTTCTGTAAACACTTACCAAAATATATCTAAAATAATACTTTTTATTCTTAAACAATTGTCCCTCGCATAAAATATTGAATGATGATATAAAAAGAGATGACACCTGACTATACTCCTTAAATTCTGATGCTGCTTGCTAAAATGTTTTTTTTTTTATCAATCACATGTATGATGTGTGCCCTAATCGGCAAATTGTAAAGATATTGCACAAACCTGGCATCATGAATAACGACGATCCTGCAATGATTGCACTAAAATGATTCGCCATAACGCAACAGTTTTGTCGAAAAAAAATTTGGTAAATGATATTTGTCAAAAATTGCGAAAAAGTTATGCATTTCCATAAGTATGTACATAAATTAAGTTGATTTCTTCATATGCAATTATATTTCTCTCTACATATTTTAAACATCACATAGCTAAAAGTTTTTCTCATTTATTGGACAATTTTTTTTGAAATTAATTTTGTAAATATACTGCTAAGATGATTCGCCATATCGTTATTCTTTTGCCAAAATAGTATTTGAAGAGTAATTTTGCAAACAACTACAAATATTTTATAAAAGATCAATGTTTTTACGTCTATTTTCTAAACTATATCTGTATAATTGCAAATTTCAATTTTAGTGCAAGATTTTGTCACATAATTTTGTAAATGTTTTCTTATCAGGGGAAAGTTGCAAATTTTTATTCTCCATCCTGTTCTATTCTCCTTCTTGAGATCGGTCATTTTTATTTTTAAAGTAAAAATTCATCTGATGCTGCTTGTTGTTTCAATGGTGGTTTTCAGTTTTCAATACATATAGTTTTTACATCATTATTTGTTTTACGTTTCTGTTTCTTAAACACGCACAATCGTTTTTCCATTCGCGCGCTATCAAGTTCGATCTCCTTACTCTTACTTCATGATTACTCGCTAATTCGAGTGTATCGAAACGCGCGATATACTTCGAATATCAAATCAACGCGCGCGCGGCAGAGCCATAGACTTATATCAAAGAGAAGCCTGAGAGCGGTCACGACCATAAGAGTTTCTGCGATAGCTTTTTGTGGACATGGTTCTTTTCCGTGCTAAGTTTGTAGACATGGTTCTATTCTGTGCTATGAGAACATTGCATTGAACCATGAACAACGAGAACCGTCGTCACACATTGACATAGGCTACTTTCCTTTTAGGAAACACAGTCGACACAAGTCTACACAAAAGTCATTCTATCTTCGTTCAGTATTCAGTGAGAAACAAAGACAGAATGACTCTCGTGTCGACTTATGTCGACTTTGTTTCCTAAAAGGAAAGCAGCCATAATATGTCTGCACTCTTCCACGAGCGCACACGGACAACGGTCTCGCTTGCGCGCGTATCCCCACCACGTCGGTGTTCTCATAGCACGGAATAGAACCATGTCCACGAAAAGCTATCGCAGAAACTCTTATGGCCGTGGCCGCTCTCAGGCTTCTCTCTGCTTATATAATAGACGGAACATTTATATAACGAAGTTGAAGACAACATTAAAGGACAAAAATAGTGCTAGAGTAGTTGTCTTTCTCTTTTACTTTAATAAGAGCGGGAAGAAACCAATCACCTTAAACGCATAGACATATAAGTCTATTTACACGTAAAGAGCCTTCTACAATAAAATATTAGTACTAAATCAGAAGTCAAAAGCAAGAAATTGACCAATCACAGTCCCATCATAGAAGAATAATCGATTTTGATTAGTCGATTTCTTGCTTTTGACTTCTGATTTATTACTAATATCTTATTGCAAAAGACCCTTAAAAGGCCATTACTTTTGATTTGTGTGCTCGAGAAGTTATAAAGGTTCGAGTCTTGTATGGATATAATTTTTTTCTTCTTTTATTTATGTTTTTAAAGAGAAATAACAACAGTTGGTTACACTAAAGCATAAACAACTGTTGTTACTTAAAGATACCTTACTTTAGAGAACATTTAAGTTAAAACATAGGTTAAATTAAACTCTATAGAAGTGTGACGTAAATTAAATTATAAAAAGGTTTACGAATTGTTAGTGTTAATTGTTAGCGCCTGCCAAGTCTCTCAACAAGTCTCTACATGCTACATGCATGCTATCACACACTTCTCACTATTACTCTCACTCAACTGATTCTCGGACTGCTATTTTCAATGTTCTCGATCACTCACTCGGCCTGCCGCGGCCACCAATCAACTCACTGCTAGAAAAGAAGAGAACTACTCCACGACTATTTCTGTCTTTTTTAACGAAGCTTCAGCTCCTCTTACACAAATGTACCGTTTATTATATAAGTCTATGGCATGCACGTGCCGGCCGAAAGAACACAATAATCAACATTGCCTTTACCGTGAAATCGAAAATCACGCGATCGACCAATTACGAAAAGTCACCCCCCCCCCCTATGTTTTATTTAACCAAGAAGATAAAATTTTCTCTTTAAAAGAAAATAAATCAAACATTTAGATTATAGCTAAAAGAATGTGTTTGTAATACAATTTGACAAAGATTCCGAATGTAGTTTATTTTGTCGCATTTTCTTACCAACAAATCTCTTAAATCTACACGGGAATAACAATATCGCACTTAAAAGTTCAAACAATTTTTCCGATTTTTTTCACAGATCTGAAACATAGATTTACTATATAAAAGAAATATCTTATATACACTACACTGTATATAAAAGTATAGTTGTGCATAAAACAGTGAAAAGACATATGTCAAATACAATATGTTTATTATCATCTATATATGTAGGATACACAGTCGTAAAGTCGTCTGCCTCTACCTTCACACATACGTTTACATCGAGTAAATTCCACTTGCCGTTCGCAACTCTCATGAAATCATTTTATCCTTATTTCTCATCAAAAAGTAAACAAAGATAGATAACGCTTACGAGCGTTGCGAACGGCACGTGGAACTTAAAGAATTGCACGTGGCAAAAGTTTAAACATAGTTGGAAAATCGTAAGCAACTCGACCAATCGCTGGTCAGGATTTCAACTAATGTAAGATAATAATAGTCCGTAATTGGTTGAACTGCTTCCGACCTTACGGTTATGGTTAAAATTTTTTCACGTGCAATGCCCTTACCCATCGTGGTGTGTATTCATTATTTCATAGAAAGGACTGATCTTCAGTTATCCAGAATTTCTTGAAGAGGCGAGAACGCACAAACACGCTCACGAGATACGCTTTCAATCTTGTTTGATTATCAGTTTGCACTTTCTTTTGCAAGATTTATACTTCAATGCATTGAATATCACTATACAAAAAATGGTAAGTCATTAAGCTATTTTTTGTAGAATAAAAATTGCTTCTTATATTTTACGAAAAAATATAAATTTTATATTTAACCAAACACAAACCTGAACATAAAAAATGAAATAACATAAACCTATCATCTCAACAAAGCATATTATACGGTGAATGATTGTGTGGTTAAAAAAGCTTAAAGGTAAATGTAATAGATAAAATACGAGAAAGAAAAAGGAAGAGAGAAAGAGAAAGATCTTCAAAGCCTGCAGTCCACAGGTGGTAGTGGATACAAGAAAGATTTGTGCTTCTAAATTAACGATATAAACTTTTCGATCAATTTTATTTTTGCAATTATCATCAGCCAATTCTACAATGTGCAAAGTAGGAAATATATAAGCTTTTCTTGTTTAAATCTACAAACGTTTAAAAACAACATGAGAAAAATACGCATACAAATATATTAAAAATTTTAAAACATAAACAAAATGAAGCAAAGCCAACTTTACAAAGTAAAGATAAAAGTACTCACGAAACATATGATAACAGTTATAGAAATGTGTAACGTACATTACAATCTCAAAAGACAGTGAGTACATGTCAACAGCCATGTCAAGGAAAGTCACACAAACAATACAAACATGAGTATGCGAAAACAAACGAATGAAATCTTTCTTTCACCAAACATCACCGGTGGACTACAGACTTCGAAATCTTTAATTTATCTATATAGTTAATGTGAATTAAAACTAAGTATATAAGTAAAATTTTTGAACATTAATATCTTTAGGATATAGTAATTGCTATAGAATAATTCTTAGCAAATAATAATTGGTGTATACTGTTACAATGCATTAATAAGTTTTTTTCAATGTTGTACTATTCACCTTATTTCATTTAAAATGTATTAAACACAAATTAAGAAGTTTTCTCAAACGTGATTTTATTAGGTGAATATCGAATTTGTCGAACACACAATCTGCACTCATGTGCTTCTAATTATGTATATCGGATAAAACATACAACAATAACAAATAATGTCGTGTGTGTGATAAAAATAAAGACGCTGTAGCTTATTGTTTGAAAAACACATACCTTTATGCTTAATATTTTATGATCTTCAAAAATTGTTAGTAAAAACTATTCGCAAAAAGAAAGATACATATTTGCATACAATCATATTTGACATTTATGTATTTAAAACAGCAATTAGTAATTCTTTTTTATATAATACTTTTTGTGTTATAATTGTGATTTTAATAACATGTGTTTTTCTTGTTCAAAATTATACGATACTCGTACAAAATTATTTTATAGATACTAACAACACAGATGCTTACAGTTCTTGGAACTATATACCTTTTAAGTGTCAACGAAATTGCTACTTTTGCTGATGAGAATTTTCCTCCGCACTGTATAGAACCGAGGGAATATATTCTGAATATTTCTGTGGAAGTACAAAAAAATTCTCTAATTGTTGATTCTCTTGTTGAATTGAACGTTCAATGTCCACTGCAAAACATAAAAGTTTATTTCGGACGTTACTGCGAACAACCGAAAATTAACATCATGACTGATATTTTTTTTAATTTTCCATTTTTTTCGGAAACAAAAGATTTGCCATTTTTTTCGGACGATCGATTCAAAACCTTGAACATCAGCTTCATTAACCATAATAGAGAACACTTTAGAATACAACAACAAATAGGAAATAAACATAGATTGTGGATATCTGCAAAATATAAGTGCAGTTTAGATAAAGTTATGACGATTTATCCATTTCTTGATAAAACTAAAATAAAAAAGTATGTGTAATTATGTATTAATGCAGAAAATATTTTTTCTTTTATCCTGTTGCAATAGGAGTTATAAAATGTTTAAGGAACAAATTACTAAGAACAACGTTTTCCATTATATAGATATTTGATATTACCGCGTATTCCCGCTGAATGGATATTTCCATATTGGGAAAATCCCGCAACTAAGGCCACCTTTACTATTCAAATTAACCATGACTACATTGATGAAACAGTTCTCTCACATATGCCTGGTGATCGAATTTTTGAAAGAAATAAGTTCTATACTTCATACTACACTTCATTTCCTAGTACATCTGTAATGTCCACTCAATTGGTAGCAATAGCAGTTCTACCTTATGAAAGTGTCATTTTAGTGTTAAGTACAATTTCTGTAAAAAGCAGATTACAAGTAATAAATGACACTACATACGCACGATCTCGAGTTAATGACATCACGAAGTTTATCAGAAACAAATGGAAGGATATCATAGGAACACCATATGTGCAGTATGTAATACTTCCAGTGAACTCTAGCTATTATGAAACTGTAGTAACTACTGGACTTGTTTTTTTTAAGTAAGATACATATCTCAATATTCTAAAATGAGTTTGTGAACAAATTTACACATGTCTACAATAACAATATTCCATTAAAAACATGTAAATGTTTAGAGACGCTGATATTGCATACAATAAAGAAATTGATTCGTTTAGAAGAAAAACAGAAGTAACATGTTTGGTTGCACGCAGTGTGATACAAGAAGCATTCAGTAATTGGTTAATTACACTTAAACAGTCTGATTCTTGGTTTATCGAAGGATTTTTTACATTTTACGGAGTTTATGTAGTCGATCAGGTAATACTTGCATTTGTAAATCTGTAGCTTTTATATCCCGAGAAAAAATAAAAAATCATGTAATCTCATGTAGGATTATATGTAAAGTGGAAGTAATTTTGTATGAGCGTATAATCTTTTATCTAAGTCAAATATGATTTTATGCGATCGCGTAAAATCAGATCCAAAATCTGGCGCGATCTGATTTCATATGATCATATATAAATACATAAAATTATGTCCGATAGTATATGATTTCTTATATTTATATATGATTATATAAAATCAGATCGCGCCAAAATTTGGATCTGATTTTACGCGATCGCATAAAATCATATTTGACTTATGTAAAATCATATTTAACTTATATAAAAGTTCACACGATCATACAAGATTGTATCCGATTCACATATAATCCTATATGATCACATAATTTTCACATAGATATTTAATGCAAACCGAAAGAGAAGAATACTAGTATTGCCGGGAATAAACTATGCGCCCATTCGCGATTCGTGATTCGCAATTCGCGATTATACAAACACACTTTTTGCGTGTATTCGCGTGACTACTACGTAGCTACGTAGCGCATCGCTACGAATTGCGAATCACGAATCGCGAATGCGCGCATAGTTTATTCCCGGCATATGTATTATGTAGTGATTTCAGACATTTTGGTAAAATATGTTATTGTCACATTGCTTTTTTAATGTTTATATTATACACAAAACTTCTTGACTAATGTTAGTAATCATAATTTGCTTATACTAGAAGGATTTCTATACTTGATACCAAAAATTTAGCACTATAACTTTGTATTACTAAGTTCACCTAAATAGAAAGAACGAAGCTAACCTATACATATGCGTATTCATGTAAACTTTTGGTAGATTTACAGTGAGACTTTACTGATGTCGATTGTGGTACAGACACGACGAATGGTTTTTGACTATACACAAGCTTTTATTGAATATGATTTACCACTACAAAAAAATCGACTTTTACACAACGTAACTTTTAGTAAAATGTGGAGAGAAAAAAGTAAGGAAAAACGATATTTACAACTTTTAATTGTGTGCTTAAAAATTTGCGTAACAATATAAAACCTACGTTTATATATCTCATAGATATACGAAGAATAAAAATATACATTATAATGTTTGCGAATACATCATCAAATTATAAATTAGAGTCATCCAATTTTCATTGTATGCATTTATCAACAATTATTTACATAGGTTTTTGATCATAATTGAATAACGTTCACACATTCCGAATTATGTTTTAGTATTCACTATTTTCTATATGATTAATAGCTTATTCCGTAATCCAGATGTACTATACAACTTTATTTTTGATAACGCGATAAAGTTATATAACACGTAAGTATTATACCTTTATATAAAGCAATGATTAAAGAGAGAAAGTGTGGGTTTAAGCATGATTTTATAAGTAAGGTATACAAATCTTCAAATATTTATTACGTTTAATACAATTAAAACCGATATAGTTTCTGTTTTGCTATCTGTTGTCACTTATAGTAGTACATCCAGTGAGACATATAATCTTCAGTCTATTCTCGAGAATGTATGGAGCGATTTAATGTTTGTGCCGGCCATAATTGAAAACATCCGATTAAAGAATGAAGATATAAAAAATGTGATAACTACATGGATAGAACAAACTGGCTATCCCCTGGTACAAGTAAACCGGGACAATGATACACAATCTCTAGAAATTATAGTTCAAGATTGTGTTGCAGTTAAACAAAAGGATCTGTGTGCATATAAATGGTGGATACCTGTAACCTATGTACCAATAGCAAAAAATGTGTCTATTACTAATCATTATAAATATATAGAACCAAACGGAATAAGTAACTTTGTTCCGTATATTAAGGAAGATGATTTTATCATAATCACAGGGCACAATGGTAATACAATAAAAAAAACTTTGTTATATTCTATGTATTCTGTAAATAGTATATTTAATGTTTTTACTAATTTGTTTACTTTACCTAATTTTCTCTATTGTTTTCGTTTTCGATGTTTTTTGTTTATTTTATAAATATTTATGTATAAACAAATTGGTGTAGGATATCGCGTCAACTATGATCGTAAATCTTGGGAAAATATTGCCCTCTTTTTGAAAAGTAAAAAGTCTAAGACTTCGGAAGCGTATAAATTATCTGACGTCTCTTTAGCACAAATTCTCGACGATGCTTTTTATTTTTTAATACAAAATACAAAGTATAACGTATATGCTGCAAAAAGGAATAACATAGACATTTTTTTCAATCTTGCAAGCAATGTAGTTCGCAGAAAGAATTCGTACATAGTGTGGCATTCCATATTTACAACTCTTCAATACATATCAAAGATTTTTCCATTACCGAAAAGGTCAAAGATCAAGGTACATAATTTTCCAGTGCACTAAGAAAGAACAAAAGTAAATAATCCTAATCAACTAAATAAAAGAAACTTTCACTGAACTAGTTTTATAATATACAGTTTAGAAGTTACGTTTCCTTCTGCAGTTGTCTTTGATCACCTGACAAAAAAAACAGTATAAAGTAATTTACAAAAGTAACTAAGAAACTTTATAAAACAATAATTACTAAGCAATGATTCTTAATAAACATGTTTTTAATTTACTAAGGATTTACAGAGTAATCAAAATATATTAATACTCGTTACACTTTGTTTATAGACTAAAGTTGTAAAACTATTGAATATTTTTCTGAAAAATATATTACATAAAAATGTTTCCGAGAATACTGTCAGTAATCAAGTATATCACGAAGTTTTAAAATGGACATGCATTCTTGGTGGCTTACGGTGCAAAGAACATATTAATGCTATATTACAGTGGCATTTAGAAAATCCTGTACAATACAGGTACGATTTTCTATTTCTCGTCTGTATAACGTTACTTTGCTGTTAATATATTATACATAATATTACCGAACTGTTACCTGAGACTTGATACAGTATTATGATTTTGTAAAAACACTAGATACTTGCGAGTAAATTATTTTCTAATCAGTATCACATTTGTTTATATAAAATATATAGATGTATACATTATACTTACATATATTTTTATATAAAGATGTTTGAATAAGACGTCGAAAGGACGCCTTGCTTCTACGATTATAATGTACGATATTGCAACTGTGACATGAGTGTTGATACGTCGTTACGATATCAGAAGAAAAGTAACACAACTTGAATGACAATTGTGTGAGTAGAATTATACATTTTTGTAAGTATTTGCAGACTGTTGCCAAATTGGCAGAACTGGATGTATTGCCAAGGATTGATGTTAAAACTTATAACTGATAAGATGTTGTGGCATAAAATACAGGACATTTACTTGTCACAAGAGAAACACCAACACTTCTTTCATCTTTTCTCTTGTTCTGGACTGAATCAGAGTGTGGAATCTTTTGGTTTTGCACTAAAACATAATTTACTAAAAGAAAGTGATTCCGTTACCATATTTTTTGATATTATTGCAAGACATGTAGAAGATTGTTGTTTACCGAATAGTATAATAAGCAAAACACAAGATAAATATTCAAGGTAAACAAAGTTATCTATATACAATTGTTAAGTTTTGTTTTATATGTACATATTCTCCGATAAAAAAACATTTATTATGTGAAAAAATCTTTTGCATGAAACTTCTGATTTGCAATTATATAGATATATTGTGAGAAAGAAATGTAAAAACATTGATTTTGTATACAATATTTGTAACTGTATGCAAAATTAATTTTTAAATACTTTTCCGGCAAAACAATAATGATATGGCAAACCATCTTAGCAGCATATTTGCACAATTAAATGTAAAAAAAAATTGTTCAATACNTGAGAAAAAAATTTTAGTTATGTCATGTTTAAGTCACGTAGAAATATAATTGCATATGAAGAAATGAAATTACTTTATGTATATGCTTATGAAAATGCATAACGACTTTTTTCTGATTTTTGGCAAATATTAGTTACAAACATTTATTTTGATAAAACTGTTGCGTTATTGCGAATCATCTTGCAATCATTGTCCTTATTCATGATGCCATTTTTGTGCAATATTTTTACAATTTCCCAATTAGAGTTGTATATTTACATATAATCTATTGTACATAATCAGCATTCCAATATTAGATGTATTTAATTGATACATTATTTTTTATGTCATTTTATAAGAATATTGTCATTCTACTAACATATTTTTTGTACTAATTATTTAGTATGTATGCATCATTTGAAAGAAACATAAGCATACTTGCAGTTATGAGTTTTCGTATTAATCACATATATTCAGATGAAGGTCTTGAAAAGGTAACGTTGTGTGAACATAATCGGTTACTTGTACTATAAATGTAAACTATTTCTCTTTTTTATGAATATGTATTAATATGCATGGAAATATTATTATAATTATATTAGTTATCTATATAGCGTAATATACTTAAAGAATATCATGATAATGAGTTTTCCACATTACATTCAATATTAATATCATACGATGGTTTTAGATCACCGACACCGAATTGCTCTTTGTAGAACTGCTAAACCACGATTACACCAAAGACACGGTATATTTTGATTTTGTAAAATATGCGAAATAGTATTTTAATTTTTTTAATCATGATTTTAATAGTATTTAGTTTTGTATCTATGTTTGTTGTTTTTTTGTTTAAATTTAAAATATGTTTATACAAAACTGTTACTTTGGTTTTGTTTGTTACTTTATATAATTTGTGTTCTAAACATTTATGCAAAACTATACAAAATGTATTATGATAAATAAATTTTGTAATTGTTTTTAGGCAATATTCTTGCTGGACGTCATTATAAAAAAAGCTCAATCTCGTCGGAAATTTTTAAGTGCAATGTAGCATTATGACAGTTTTCGTAAAGTTTACGATATACTTAAGTACAAAAGCAAGGAAAACTAAGGTTACTTTTTACAATTTAGTGCAATTTTATTTAAACAAACAGAGCATTTTAGTGCATTTAGTTTAAACCTAGAGTTACTTTTATTTAAAAAGTGTAACCTTATTTTATGACACAAAAATTCTTATTAATTATAATTAAAATCGGAAATATTGTACTGATTTTATTATATTTAATAATGCGAGCAAGATGTTCATAAAATAAAATCAAGTTTTTAATACAATAATTTCTATTACATAACGATATTACGATATATTTAAGTATAGCAACCTGCACGTATATGAATAGAGCATTTGGTAAATACCAAAAAAACACACTAAAATTATATATAAAAGTTAAAACTGTATGTAGAAATAAACCTATATTGAGTTGTATTATAAGATAAACAATAATTATTATTACAGAATTATTACATATAATAAAATGAGCATTTACATAATAAAATTCTTTTGTTACTTTTCATCAAGTTCATATTTCTTTTATTTCAATATCTCTAAAAGCAAGAACATTAAAACATATATACATACATTGTATACATATATGTATGTATATACAGGGTGTCCAACAATTAGTGTAAAATCTCTCGTAGACAGGTAGAAGAAGTAAAACTAAATCGATAAGTCCTATACCATTTTGCTAGATTCGCAATAGTTACCGAAATTTTAATTAATAAAGATCCGCGAATAAGCGTGCATCGGGCTATCTTACGCGCGTAGGACAGCCCGGCGCGCTTCGCACAATTACATTTTAATATGTATATGTTGTAGTATATGCTGTTATAGTAGCTCCTCCCATATGCTGTTACAAGTAACACCGCGCGCGAAGCGCACTGGGCTGTCTTAAGCGAGTAAGACAGCCCGATGCATGCTTATTAGCTGAACTTTGTTAATTAAAATCTCGGTAACTATTGCAAATCTAGCAAAATTGTATAGGACTTATCGACTCAGTTTTACTCCTTCTATTTGTTCACGAGAAGTGTTACATCAATTCTTGGACACCCTGTATATACAGAGTGTCCGTGAAATTTTGACACAGCTGAAGTATGGAGATAGAGTGAGTGAAATTGAATCGAAAAGTTATTTGCCATTTTGCGAAATTCGCAATAGTTAGTGAGATAAGAATTAAAAAATGTGAACCAATGAGCGCGTCGAAAGCGATGGTCCTGATTCTGTAGGCGAGTATGATTGTCAGTATAAGATTAATGGCATACATCTAGCATACATCTGTATTCGGCGGTTTGTAGCGAAGCGAGCACCTTGAAGGAAGATGAGAAGCCTCTGCTCTCCGCGATAAATATTATTATTTTCTTCTATGTAAGTAAAAAGAAGTATTCATTATATGTAGATAACATTTTTCTTTGCTAGCAGTTGTCTGCTGCTCATAATTTATTGCTCAGAAATAAAAATATTATCTCAATTTTACTATTTTTACTATACAAAATGATTCAGAACAACCTGTTATCCTTGAAAATGCGTATTTTTGACTAAATACAAAAGGACAACTTTTTATTTGACAAAATGTTGTCGGAAGCTTATCAAGGCTGGGTCCGTTTTTGTAAACACTTATTAAAATATATCTAAAATAATACTTTTTATTTTTAAACAATTGTCCCTCGCATAAAATATTAAATGATAATATAAAAAGAGATGACACTTGACTATACTCCTTAAATTCTGATGCTGCTTGCTAAAATGTTATTTTCTTATCAATCACGTGTATGATGTATGCCCTAATAGTCAAATTGTGAAGATATTGCACAAAACTGGCATCATGAATAACGACGATCTTGCAATGATTGCACTAAAATGATTTGCCATAACGCAACAGTTTTGTCGAAATTAAATTTGGTAAATAATATTTGTCAAAAATTGAGAAAAAGTCAGTATGCATTT